ATATTCTTTATTTTTTCCACGGTTGATAATCCACACCACGCCCCCCCCCACACACACACACACACACACCTACCACCTCTCCTCCATTTAAACATCCACTTCTTTTAAAATCCCTGAAGATGTGTTTGAAGGACCACTTAGTTGTTTTGTGGCACTGAAGCACATGTTGACATCAGTATTTGCAGCATGTTGCATCACTTAAACCCACAACACTACAGGACGAGAGGCAGCTGGCTGTTTGTCCCAAACACACTCACACGACTCCGGGATCCCATAATCCCATGGGGTGGGGTTACCTAGACCTGATCGTCACACCTGGTGCTCCTGGCACTCCCTGGGAGCCCTGTCTTCTGTGTTTGAATTAAGGTTGTTAGGGAGGGAAGAGATTTGGTCATGCATCATCATACAGGGAGTCCCTGCTCCAAAACAAACAGGTGGAAACTCTGCTGAAACTGTACACAGGAAAGATTACTAACGTCAGATTAAAGTCCAAGTGCAACATCTGGTCCCAGCCAGGTCTTAAAGTGAGGAAAATTACAAACTCACAGCAACTTACACTTGTTTTGTAGTAAACATTAAAAGCCTACATTACTCTTTGAAGTAGTGGGTTTGCGCTTTAGTGGGCTGGTGCCCGTCACTGTATACGTATATTGAACTAAATATGGTGTGGTAGTAGCTGACAGTAATAACAGAGGTCACACAAAGACAACCAAACAACAGACCAACATTTATAAATTTATCTGATGCAAAGGAGAGACCATTTATTCATCCCTAGAGAAAAAAATAACAATATAAAACTATTGCTTCTCGTTGTGGGAGGATGCTTGTGCACAGTTTAGTTTACAGTTTGATCAAATTTCTGTATTTTCGCTTATGTATTTAAAATTGTTTTTGTTGTACATCAAAAGATGTCAGGTTGTAGGTTGATCAAATAACATGAAAGTCACAAAAATCCACATCGCAGGTTGAAAGTTAGCTAAATGCCAAAGGAGCCGATTCCTTTGGAAACACAGCGTGGGTAACCTTATTTCTCTGGCAGCAAACATATGAGGAACCTAATTGTGAACTTTTCTTTCAAATATAAACTGTACTGGTCTGGAGCTTCGGCTGTTTTATTATTGTTCTGACCTTTCCGTTTCCCCCAGAGTCCCTTTCAAATCGTACCCCCTCCTTTCTCTGAGAGATCAGTTGTTCTTCTGAGAACATCACATGACACAGAAACATAGACAGAGCTTTGAGATTCTGGCCTTTTTGTGTGTTTGCAGTGCAGCAGCCTCTGTTGGAGCCCGGCGAGACAGACTGAGTGAACGCAGGAAACGGTTACTAGTTTGCAATCAGGCAGAAGTAACAGTGTTTAATTACTGGCACGTTTACCGAAGAAACAAGTCAGCATGCATTAGTGACACAATGAAACACACCCTGCATATGTTGGCACTGCCCTGGCAGCTGGACTCACAACACCAACCGAGGTTTGCAGCGAAACAAAACACACAACAACCATGGTCACGCACAAGCAGCTCCGACTGAATCCTTCTGAACGGAGTCTGAAGAAATGAGCCACCCCCTCACACACTGCGTCCAGCTTCACCGAGTCTTTGCTTAACATACGACACATCTAGCAGCTGCTTGAACATCTGTTGCACCCAGTTACATCACAGTGTGTGTTGTTTATGCCAGGAGGACGGCCCTGGGTGTGTTGACATTTGAAAACAGTTTTTCTTCAGTGAATTTTGCGAAGCACAACACGGCTGCTTCCCAGTTCACAGATTTTATTTTTATTTTCAGGCAAACATTGGTTTAAAAACAGATCTGTGAATGTTTCCATCTGTTTCTGTGGGTTTCATTTTTATAATGATTACCACCTCAGAAAATACCCTATAGTATTAGTAGTAGTAGTAGTAGTAGTAGTGTCTGTTATTTAGGTATGTTTGAGGAAAAACTACTTCACCACCAGAGGCTGGTTCATATTTGCAGATGACCCTTGTGAGACCATCTAGATCCTTGAATGTAGGTTTGACTTTGTCTTTAGTTCCTGTGGTCCACTGCTGTCAGGGTTTGATGTGAAGTTTGAGAACTGAAACTAATTACCAGTATCTGCAGGTTGACTTTGTTTCAAGTCAACGAGGTCATTTCCAAAAATGGTCTGGTTTGGATTTTGTTCATCCATTCCAGGGCTGGGCAACTGAAATGATGGAAGGGGCCACAAAATTTGTTGACACTACTGAACACAAACCCAAAAGCAGTGGTGGGCACCAGTCCGCTGAAGCACAAATCCGCTAATTGCGAACCTAAATATTTCGTTTGCGCTTTAGCAGTCTTACTAATTTTTATAATTCATAAGCAGATTTGCGCTTTCTAAAATTAAAATACAGTACTGCTAATAACTAATTATCTACCAGTCATCATTATCTTGAACAGCAGAAGGTATGACTGTCAATGAATCACAACATGTGATCTATCCAACAGCACCCCTCCCAGATAAACACACTTATTGTGAAGGTCTACATCCTGCTGACTGTTGCTTTGGGCCACAGTTCTGATTTCCCACAATGCTTTGTGTCTGCTTACGTAGCAGGAAGTCAGTGTTTAGAACTCCCTGTCCCAGTAAAAACAGTAAACGTTTGTAATCCATACTAAAATTTTGTATGTTTTGATTTATTTTACTTTACAATCGGAGCTCCTTTTTTAAAAAAACAAAAGTTTAAACGCTGGAGCTCAATACTTGACGTAATTGGTCGAAGCAACGGGGTTAGGGACGCAGAAATGATTTAAAGATGTTATGCTGATGAAGACTGACATCTAGTGGTCAACTGGAGCAACTACATGGAAAACTTTAGAATCCGAGCTCTTATTTTGAAGTGAAGATAGTTTCCTGTAGTCTGTGCTTTTGTTTCCCGTCACAAATCAAATCTGTCATGTACCCAGAATGCATCGCTTCAGTTTTCCAATAAACAGTTTTAAAATTACTTTACTGATGCTTCTTTAATGAAAAATCTACAACAAACAAAAGAAAAAGGCAAAGAAGCAGCCGAACTAGCAATCCTCAACAACTTTTTAATTTTTACACCAGGAGCTAAAGGTCAGTTTCAGGAAATCACATCCCCAGCAATCAGCGGTTGTAGAATTAAGTTGTACAAGAGTTCATACACCACTAGTTGGCCGCGTTGTACATATATTGTACATGGATTGTTGCCAACTAGTAATTGTCAAATTGAACTTATGCTTTAAAATTAGCCTCTGCTGGTTATTCTATGGCATAAGCGTTTTGAAGTTGCGGATTCAAATATTTTCATAAGCAGTTTAGAAACTGCGGAGCTAATTTTAGAAATGTTTGTGTATTTAAATGTTTGTTAAACCAACACAGTGCAGTAACATAACACATTTCAGTTCAAATGCATGTAGAACAGTTGTACTGTTAATTAATATGAATACAAAATGTTTGAAGCAAATAAAAAATAAACATGTAGTGAGCTGAAGAGAAACAGCATAAGACAGTGTGAGGTCATTCTCCTGTTTGGTTCTGGTAAAAATAAAGTCTTTGTTGTTTTTGTGTCTTCGATAAACTTCTCATATTCAGCTTTGTGCAGCATGTCACAGTTGAAGCTTAAATTAAAATCCTTCGTGGCAGGCAGTGTCTCTTAGCAGACTGAACACATGGATCTACCTCCCAAAATAAAATCTTTTATTTTCTTTACTTTAAAAAACACTCTTAAAGCAGCTTGGATTCTAAGAGCTTGTTTGAGAGAAAAAAAAAATCTGGGGGTGTGGGGCTTCATTGGTGGGCCAGGCAGAAGTCACCTGAGGGCCACATATACAGCTGCCAGTTACCCATCTCTGATTTATTCTAAGATGTGGGTGTTATAGTTTTAGGTCAAGTTTTAGTTTTGTTTTTATCTCATGTCATGTGTTTTTAGCAGCTCTTTTCCTCAGCCTTGTCACAGCCCTGCTCCCCCTCCCTTCACAGATCCTCAGGTGATCAGCTCATGAAACTCACCTGTGTCCCTCTGTATTTAAGCCAGCAGTTTCCCTCAGCACTCTGCCAGTTTATCATCAGCCAGTCTATGATTCACCAGCATTCTTGTCCCACATCCTGTTGTGATGTTGGCTCCTCGACCCCCATCTCGTCCCTTGGAATACGGCCTCTTGCCTCAGCCCGTGTCGGATACCTTCTGCCATCTACTCCTCTGGTAATGACCCTGGTTCTGTTTCTCGGACTCCTGCCCCTTGTCCCTCCCTTGCTCGGCACCACGACACCTCAGACTTCCTGGTACTCGACCCCTGCCTGCCTCCTGGATTCAAGAGTTAAGTTTGCTCCTCTTAACCTGTCGTATTCTCTGATACCTCGGTGTATGACCCTCGCCTGTCCCTGGACCCCGGACCCATTTCTCGGACCCTCAACGCTCCCAAGGATTGTCGGTGACGTCATCGTGTTTCTCTGGAACCAAACTGACACAGTYKGTGTTTCCACACGGAGGCTCCCAGTTGACACCAGGTTAGTGGCTAAAAATACTAGTAGTATTTTTGTCCCAGAGTCTTACAGCCACTAACCTGTTTTTTCTGTGTCCAGAAAACCGGACCCACGCACCTGGGTTGTTCCAGCTCCACATCAGCAATTTTAATAAAATTTGTAAACCTTTATCTGTTTTCGGGTTTTTATCAGGGCTCAAACTCAGATCCATAACAGTGGGATCTTGTCTTTTCTTGTAACTATTTAGGAGCTTTTATTTTATTTTTTTAATCAATCATTTTGTCAGGAGTTGGTAAATCTCATTCATTTGTGTTGGAAGCCACAAAGTTCAGCGTTAACAAAATGAATAACATCAAACAAAGCAAAATAAAAGCTGGCCTAATGATCATGCTTTTCAGACTCAAACGTCTTTAAAAGTTGAGCTTTATACAGAAACTTAAAAGTCATTTAGAGATCCAGCAGACCTCTCAGACAGTGGGAGATTGTTCCAGAGCCTAGGACCTGTAACTGAAATGGCTCTGTGTCCCCTGGTCACAAGCCCAGACCTGGGAACAACTAGCTCTTAGAGATCTACTCAGAACGTGAGGCTATAAAAGCTCAGTAAGATAAGGAGGTACCAGATCCTTTAGACATTTAAGAACCAAAAGCAAAACCTTTATTCTAAAAGAAACAGCCAGTGAAGGGAATACAAGGTTGGAGCGATGTGTTAAGTTGTTTTGTCCCTGTTAGTAACCAGGCAGCTGAACTGTGAACCAGCTGTATGATGAACCAAAGACTGATCAATCCCACAATAAAGGGAGTTGCAGTAATCCAGTCTAGAAGTGATAAAAGCATGAATAACCCTCTCAACGGCATTTTGAGGAAGAGTTTTTAATTCTACTTATAATCCTCAAGATGATAAAAACTAGATTAAACTACTGCATTGATCTCTACATTAAATTTAAAATCAGAGTCCAACTGTGTTCTATAAAGTACCTCAAAGTGATACTTGATTAAAAGTACAAGTATCTTTATAAACATACTTTGGTAAAAGTTAGTCTTCTCTAAAAATATTACTTGAGTAAAAGTAAAGTATCTGATATTTTTTGTACTTAAGTATCAAAAGTAAATTTCTGACACAACATCTACTTAAGTATTAAAAGTAAAAGTACTGAGTAAAAG